TTTTTTCTAGTCACATGTAGTGTACAAAAGTGATTCCATCCTTACCTATTGCTCCCAAATGTCAGTCAGTTGTGTAACAGAATGTAGCAAGGTTTTGTAATATAGCAGCAAGCTTCAAGAGATATTTTGTTATTTTTGATCAAGACCTGTCATTTAAATCCCATATCAAAGAGGCTTCTATAATTTCCTTCTTTCATCTGTGGAAAATTGAAAAAAAAAAATAGTATCTTGTCCAGGGGTAATACTGAGAAAATAGTCCATGCATTTGTTACTTCAAGGCTGGACTATTGTAATTCTTTACAATCAGAAAGTCCACAAATTGTAGTTAAAAAGCCTTCAGCTGATTCAAAATGCTGCAGCCAGATTTCTGATAAGAATTTAAAAGAGAGGTCATATCTCTCTTATCCTAGCTTTTCTTTCTTTATTCTTTATTGGCTTCCAGTTAAATCTATAATAGAATTTTAAATTCTCTTGCTCACATATAAAGCATTAAATGACCAAGCTTCATCCTATATCAGGGATATAATTATTCGTTGTTCTTAACATAGCACTTCGCTCTCAATCTGCAGGTTTACTGTTGGTTTACTAGAATGTCTAAAAGTAGAATGGGAAGCAGATCAGCAAGTTACCAGGCTCCTCTCCTGTGTGAACTAACTAACCGTTCCAGTCCATGAGGCACACACCCTGTATAGTTTTAAGGGAAGGCTTAAAATTATTCTTTTTTTATAAAGCTTGTAAATAGAGTGGCTCAGGTTATCCTGCTATAGGTTTATAATATTGGAGGACATAGGGATCCCTTTTCATTTTATTGCCTTATTCTATCTTTATGTTCTATGTTATATCTAAATGATTTGCAAGTTCAACCTCTAACTTTATGCTCTCTCTGCTTTTTCACATTATAGTAGCTGTTTTGTTTGGCTGTGACACCATCCTGGAGAGGAATATCAGCTGTGCTGCTGCCACCAACAGCTTTGTTTATAGATGTTGTAGCTTGGTCTGTCTTTCAGTGTAGTCTTGTTTGTCTTATTTTGACTAACTGTATGCACTCTCTTTTATCCTCTGACATGTGAGCTGGCTCAGGGCTCATCTGCCTGGCTTTTCGTTTCCTGGACCGGGCCACCTGTGAAGATGTTTGACAGTTACCTTTTGTGTCTTTGTTTCTTTCTGTATGTCTGCTTCTGTCTCCTTGAACCCCAGTCGGCCTCTGCAGATGGCCGCTCACACTGAGCCTGGTTCTGCTGGGGGTCTCTTCCTGTTAAAAGGGAGTTTTCCTCTCCACTGTCGCTACATGCATTCTTCATTCAACATATATACTGTTTGTAGTGTCAGATAAACACATCACCAACACTGTCTTACACATCTCATTTTGTAGCTACTTCTTATTTTGTGGACAGACAAAAAATACAGTGGCACCAACATTGCAATATCATGTACTATACAGGCAAGTTATACCAAACAGGTGAAGCTGCTGCGGCAGAATTTATGCAACTTCAACCCAAAAGTCCAAACAGTCCAGTCTGGTTAGATAAAGATGTACTCACCTCGTTATGCTGCGAGCATGAAGTGGCTCTAGCAGGTGAGATTAACACATACTTTAAAAATATTGTTTGATCATTTGGGGTTGGGTGACCGGATGTCTAAATTTTCCTAGGACAGTCCCTAGACGGAGGACACAGAACAACAAATCAGAGTCCAGAATCAAACAACCTAGCCAGGATGGACCAATCAGGACCTTGGAAGGATGGTGAGAAACAAAAAAACAGAGTCAAAAATAAAACAACCCACTGGAGGACAGTCGGGAGGCCCACAACAAAGAACAGTCTCTGTAGGATGGCTGGGAGGCCACAACGAACAGTCATAGGAAACCGGCGATGAAAAAAATCTCTGGAGGACAACCAGAGGTCCTTCATGTGTGCTGCGGTAAACTAGGGGGCTGTCTCCAGCACTGGATCCTTGGGGTCTGCAGCCTACGGAACATGACCCTTAGAGGCCGGCATCTGTGGCGATGAAACCCTGAAGGGTGCTGTCACAGGAGTAGCAATTCACGGGCAGCAGAGGCAGCAAGGATTGAGATCCTAAAAATGTGGCATAGCTTGAGACGTATAAAGAGGCGCCACTGCTGAAGACCCACAAAGAGGCACCATCAGTGAAGATCCATGTAGAGATGCCACTGCTGAAACCCATGAAGAGCCAACAGTGATGACCCAACATGAGGCACTGCAGATGGTGAGGGACACTCACACAGAGGCCTTTGAGACAAGTACCACCCACAGAGGGGCTCTTGGAAAGGAGGAGCACCCACAGAGGGGCCTTGCAAACCAGGAATGCCCATGGAGGGACTTTGGAGACCAGAAAGGCCTACAGGGGACCCTTGGGGATGAGAAGCGCCCACAGGGGAGCCTTGGAGCAGAATTTCCTCAAAGCTCTGACTCAAGAAGGGGTCCAAGATGAGCAAAGGTGTCAAAGGATAGAAAGTAACATGCTCAGGGTCCTTAGATTGCACAGAGCGGGCTCAGGGGTCTCTGGGGACAGTTCACTAAGAGGCTCTATAGCGGGCTCACAAAGATCTAAAGGAAAAGTCACCAAGGGGCCCAGAAATCTAGAGAATAGTCACAAAGGGGCCCTAAATCTGGGTAGGAGTCACTATGTGACCCTAAATCTCGAGATAAGTCACCAACGGCCCCTAAATTTGGAGATGAGTCCCTAAGGGGCTCTGGCTAAGAAGCAACTAAATGACAGAGAGCTGATGGAGTTGGCATGACTTTGAAAAAATGTTATTATTATTATTATTATTATTTTTTCTTATTGTGATGAGTTCAGTGGGAGAAGCAGTGGTGAAATTTATGAATCTGCTCAACAAGGAGGCTTAGTTGGTTGTTGAATGAGGTCAATAATTGCTCTTGTGCATTCCGTTGTTGTACGCTGCTAAAAAAAAAAACCAGAAACATGTAAACAACACAATATTAGTTTGATCAAATGAAACTTCTGTGAAATGAAACTGTCCACTTAGGGAGCAAAACTGATTAATAATCAATTTCGCACTCTCACACTCTGTTGTGTAGAATAGCCAACAGGTGGAAAACACACTCAATAAAGGAATGTTCTTTAGGTGGGGACCACAGACCACTTCTCAGTACCTATACTTCCTGGCTGATGTTATTGTAATCTTTTAATGTTTGTGGTGCTTTCACACTCTTGGTAGCATGAGACGGACTCTACAACCCACAAACGGGGCACAGGTAGTGCAGCTCATCCAGGTGGGCTCATCACTGCAAGCTGTGGCAAGGTTTGCTGTTTCTGTCACATTAGTGTCCAGAGGCTGGAGTGGCTACCAGGACTTTGGCTAGTACACCAGGAGACGTGGAGGAGGCTGTAGAAGGGCAACAACCCATCAGCAAGGAGTAACAGGACGAACACTGCCAGAGCCCTGCAAAATCACCTCCAGCAGACCATGGGTGTGCTGAAACAGTTAGTAACTGACTCCATGAGGATGGTATGAGGGCCCTACGTCCATAGATGTGGGTTGTGCTCACTGTGCAAGATGCTTGGTATTTGCCAGAGAACATCAAGATTGGAAAATCTGCCACTGGCACCATGTACTTTTCACAGATTAAAGCACGTTCACACTGAACACGTAACAGACAGGTATGACAGGAGACACAAAGCGATCTGCTGCCGGCACCATCCTTCAACATGACCGCTTTGGCAGTGGGTCAGTAATTGTGTGTTGGGGTATTACTTTGGAGGGCCACAAAGCCCTCCATGTGTCCACCACAAGTAACATGACTGCCTCTATTGAGATGAGATCTCCAGACCCCTTGGGAGACCATATGCTGGTAAAATTGACTCTGGGTTCCTCCTAATGCAGTGAAATACAGACCTTGTGTGGCTGGAATCTGCCAGCAGTTCCGTAAGGTTGAACGCATTAAGGCTATGGACGGGTCAGCCCGTTCCCAGACATAAATTTGATTGAACACATCTGGGATATCATGTCTCGATCCATCCACCAATGTCACATTGCACCATACATTCTCCAGGAGTTGGGGATGCTTTAGTCCAGGTCTCTCAGGAGATCCCTCAAGAGACCACCTCATCAGGAGCAGGCCCAGGCATTGTAGAGAGGTCACATGGAGACCACATAATACTGAACCTCGTTTTGACCTGTTTTAAGGACATTACATCAAAGTTGGATTAGCCTGTAGTGTGTTTTTCCATTTCAATTTTGTGTGTGACTCAAAATCCAGGTCTCCATTGGTTAATATATTTTATTTCCATTGATGATATTTGTGTGATTTTGTTGTCAGCACATTCAACTTTGTACAGAACAAAGTATTCTATTAGAACATGTCATTCATTCATGATGCATTATTTGAGTGCTCCCTTATTTGTTTTTGAGCAGGGTAGTTCTTGAGCCAGCTGCCGGATGGGCTCTGATGGGTCATTTCTTGCTGGATTCTACTGTCAAGTAGAATAACAACCCAAATGCAGAGACAGAGGCTGAGGTGATTTCTTGAAGATTTAATAATGAGTGGTGGCAACAGAGGCATATCTCCAGAAACAACCAGGAAACACATGAACCAGAACAGAGAGGAACACAGAGGTTAAGGAGTGAGTTTAGAGAATCCAGGAAAGAGTAACTGCAGAGGAGGAGTATATATACCAAACAGAACAATGAATGGAGAAATGAACTGACTGGGGGCAGGTGTGGACAAAAGGAACTAGAAGGGAGCTACTGTAAGGGAAAGCAGAGTAACCAAGAAATAAAACATTACTTAAATATTACTAGAAAATAAATTAAATGGCACTAAAGAGAAATGAAACTATTGACTAGAAAACGCAGAAATACATAAATCAAGTTGTAACTAAAAACTCAAAGTAAAAAACTTGAACACAACCAAAAATCCAGATTAACAGATGATAACATTTGTCTTCTCAGTTTGGAGGTATTCATAAAAAAATATCAGTGAGTTAGCGACTGATAAACAGCAAAAGAGGCATTAACCAATAAACTTAGAATTGTTAGTAGATATTCCCCGGTTAAATGTGCATTTAGACTGTTCAGTTTTTGCCTCCAAACAATAACAGCTATTTTTAGTTGTTTTGGTAAGTAAAGTTTTTTGGGATTTCCTCAGATGAGGAAAATAGATAAATAATAAAAAAAAACATGAATATTTATATTAGGATTAAAATAGTGACTCCAGGTTCTCATCTAAAAAAAACTGTTAACTGGTTATTTTCAGTGTGGTATCTCGGCCTAGGCTCCAATGTTATCTTAAAGGGGTTGTGAATATATTATGTATCTGTTTTGAATAGGGAATACAGATAGACGACAACACATGAAAAGAACAGAAAAACTAGGAGTCTTGTAAACTATACAGTTTTGTATTCATTGCAAGTATTTTGGTGTGAACATTTTAAGCTAGGGAGATTACCCAATACTGCCCTAAAAATATGAACTTAGCAATAAAATTGAAACCAGAAGGCTAAAATTCAAGTGATCTGAGATCTTGCAGAGATATAAGCGTATTTCCTTACATGGTGTTACACCTCAAGTAGCCAAACAATTGATGGAATGAGAAAGTAGGTCACGTACTGACCATTGGAGATTCTCTAGCATACAATAGTTAAAATCTGTCTTAATGCAGACAGAGGGTCTACAAAGATAACTTTGAGATTAAGTCTAGCCTGCACCTCTAATCTGTCCCACTTGCTTCCATTCTGCAGTGGAGGCTCATATGTCTAGAATAATGCTGACTTAAGAGTTGTACTGCATTTAAACATATTCAATAATACCAGTTGGGTTTTCTGGGAATGGCATTTTTGGGCTACAACATCAAATGCATAGGAAGGTAATGGTAGACTCTGTTCCTATTTTAGTGAAGGTTTGTCAAACATATCATTCTGTCAGAATCTAACCACACCATGTCTAGTTTTCAGCATCAGTAGAATGCTTCTAATTTCTTCCTCAGTTTAGCTCAAAAGTTTTAATGAGTCCATGTGCAGCATCACCAAAAGCAACAGTGAGTAAAATCAAAGCAACAGTTTATTTACACTGAGTGCAAAACCAAAGATGTGATTATAAAGACAGCACTAAATCAAAACCATGGGATAAGGTAGGAACAATGTTTTTTTCACTTCACTGACCATACCTGACTTAGAAAAACCCCCCAAAAAGAACCATAAAGCCACTCTCTCAAAAACACATTTGCTATTTTTTGTATTTCTTGCAAGCCTTTGTTCACATGATGCCTTTAACCACTATCTGAAGCCTAAACAGATGTTTGGACAAGTGATTTTACCTTCTAGAAAACTGTTGCACCCTAAGGGCTTCAAACGGTGTAAAACAATTCACACAAATACACCAAGTTCATCCTCAACACCTTAAAAAACAGACACTCTATTTATATCCTCAAATGCATACAGAAAATGGAGCTGTATACAGGTGATGTTTTGTTTTCAAGTAGAAGGAAATCAAACAAATGGAGTGGACACATGAACAAAAACACCTCAACATAACAACACAGACTGTTGCTGTCTTCTTAAATTATTAACTTAAAATAAACCCTCACAATTCAGGAGAAAATGTTGCCTACTTTTACAATGTTCAGGTTGGGTTTGCTTAGAGGTGCTAATGTTTTTGTGTCCACCCAAATTAAAAGCAACTTCTGCTGCCCTTTTACAAGAACATAAAATATATTTGTTGGATATATATGGATCTATTTACATTTTTAAAACAAGTCAGGCTATCTTCTAAATTTGCAAACACCAAACCCTCCAAAGAGCTGGCCCCCAAAACATCTGATATCAAAATATATTCAATTTCGACAGGATTCAGAGATACATTTAATCACAGGAACAGAGATTGATTACAGTATTTAACTTATGTGACATATTTTCTTACTCCTGTATAAATATCTGCAAATGTTAATGGAGAAGGAAAGCAAAAAAGAAACAAAAGAGAGGATTTGAAAGAGATTCAACATCTGTAAAATTCTCTTTGCCAGATGGTGAGCTCTGGTCTGGGCATGTCCCAAAAATATACAAGAGCATGAATAATGCATTGGATAGAACTTACTTCACAGTGTTTCCTGATGTACCCTCTGTCTCTCTCTTTTCTCTCTCACACACACACTCAGACATACACACACACACACGGACAGAAGCAAACATGCACCAACTTCCATAACACACAAAATGAGCCGGGAGCCCACATCTGCTAAATGTTCCCAGTGCTGTGAACATTATGTGTGGAGTTCATTGACAAAAATCACTCTGCTAGTCTATGTTTACATCACATTTAAAAAAAAAAGAAAAAAAAATCATGATTGAAGCTAAGTCATCCAAAATGTTTTGAAAGTACCATCGTTCACTGAGAAAGCACTGACAACTTTTTCCTGTCGTCTCTTCTGTGACTTTCACGCTGCTTCCCAGTCATGGTTCCACGGCGTCCTCTTCAGCCTCGTAAAGTTTCACCGAGTCAAACAGGAGAAAGGTGTTAAAGGCTTTAATTTGACAGACGGAACGGTGTGGCTCAGCGTCTGTAAAGTCCAAACTGTTTAGCAGCAAAGTGTCATTAACGAAACATGGCCGGGTTATTATAGTTTCATGGAGGGGAGTGGAATGAAGATAAAGCAGTTGACTCTCTAAAATAACCTCTAATAAGTTTGAATCCTGTCACAAAGGTGCAAACAGGAAGATCCTCATGGATCCCTTCCATAGAAATCAGGTTGTGGATGACATAAAGGCTCGTGTTTTTTTTTTTTCTTGTTTTCACTTTTCAATGATGACTTTGTGATCTTGCTGAGGGTGAAAGTTCAATGCTAATGGTGTATTGCTCCTCTGAGTTCTCTCAAGTTTTGCTGTAGAGACTGTCGAAGCTTTTTTTTTTCTTTTTGTCCTGGATGGTCAGTCCTCGTGGAAATGTCACTGAGGCCCGTTGGTCAATGGATACAGATGTAGTGACTGGCCACCGCTTTGCTTGTGTAAATAGAGAGCTGTTGGTGACCCTAAAGGGAAAAGATAAAGGATAAGAGACAAAATGATGAATTTATTTTGAGTTTTAGGCACAACTCGTACTTTGGTACAGTACTGACAACATGTACTGTCTTTGACTGTCCTGCAGCACAACTTCTAATCTAATTCTATCATCTTATAAAGACTGGAGTATGAGTCCCAGTTGAGCGCCAGAGAGGAGATCCAGGTAAACAGTACAAATAGCCCTCATTTAAACATCAGAATTACAAACTTAAATTCATTTATGGAAGGTTTATTTAATAGACCAACACAAAGCTGTGCTGAATTTGAAGTCCTACCAATAAAGTTCTCCAAAATAATCAGATTGTAAGGACATCTCTTTTCCCCATCCTTCTTCAGGGGACTCCACAAACTCTAAGATATATGTGATGAAATGTAATTTTCCTCAGGTGAAGCCATTCTGTCGCAGATTTAGAGGTATAGTTGGGTTTAATGTAATAGTAAAAAATGAAATCTTGTTTCACTGTCAGCTTTGTAGCACACACTAAAAGATTTTGGGTGAAAACATAATTGTTGTTTGGAAGTGTTCCTCATTTAATATATCTTAACAAAAAAACTGCACATCCCAATAAAAACAACCCAATAGATAATGATGGTTCTGACAGGTGTCAGGGTGGGTTGGTGTGCTGTGTGCGTTCACAGGGAGGAATTGCTTTGATAAGACCAAAGGTGTTTTTCATGAATCGCTGTGTTGGCATTTTGGGATAAAGCGGTTTACCGTCAGCACAAGGAATGTGAAAAGACAAATCAAACCCACAACCTGCTGATTGACGGGTAACTGCTTTTAGTAATTTTCAGTTTTCAAGCTAGTTGCAAGTGTGGTTTTCTGACCAGAGACAGTAGGGGGAGATTGCATAAGATTCAATCATTTCAAAAACAGCTGATTTACCATTGCAGGGACTTAAAAGAGGATATGTAGTCTGGGTTAAGCACCGATCAGTCATCCTGTCCACTTTGCAGGAAATCAGAACCAAAGCATAATGTTACCACCCCAATGCTTTACAGTAGTTAGGGTGTTCTTGGACTAGCTTGGCATTGAAATTTTTTGGGAAGAAAAGCTATCATCGTCAACACTACTTAGTCCAGATACAGAAAGAAAACAGGAGATTCCTAAAAAAGGAAATTAAAAACAATCCACTGGACATTGTTTCCAAGTTCAACTTGGAAACAAAGTCCAGTGGATTGTTTTTTTCTTTTCTTTGGAATGAACCATGACCTGGATGACTGAGAATCTTCACCTGCACAATATAGGAGATTTTTTACGTTGTTAGATGTAAGAAAACATCTTTTTTTTCTTCACTGTTGCTATTAAAACTTCCCACACTAGTTTTATTCCCTGTTTTATTGCATGTTCTTTAATCTGTGTCTTTATTTTCTACATTTACTGAGTACTGTTTTATACGTGATCTGATTGCTAAAGGATGAAAATGTGCAATTTTTCGAAAAATCCTTCTAAGACAGTAGAACTTTATTTACAGTTAATCATATTTACTAATGATGGATAGCAGGTAGGTAACCCCCCCAAAAGATGAATGAAGTTACATAAAATAGCATTTTTATAGAGTGTGAATACGTTTGAATCTAATAGAAGGTGGAGAAAAGCTCTTTTTGTTACTTTTTTAAACTTCTACAGTTTTGATGTCTCAGCCAAGAGTTCTATGAACAAATCAAATAATCAAAAACTGAGGTCCATTTCTACAGCTATGACAAAGTGAGGAATGTAATGCATTTATTGGTTTAATTTGTGAATTTTAATTACTTTTACAGTAAGACTTCCAGTCCATCGATATAACCCTTTATCATTTCAAGAACTGGATGGAACATCAACCCCTCCTCTCCAGAGAGTGACATCAGGAGTCCTCTCACCTGACAGTGAGTGGACAATGAGGGTTTACCCAGGGGAGGTGGCCTTTCCTATGAAAACTCTAGAAACATAACAATGTGATTAGTTGTCTTGTTGGCTCACTGTCCCATGGAAGGAGGGTATGGAGGCTGCCAAAGAGCAGAACACCCCAAGTACGCAGACCTGGCAGAAGTCTGCAAGAAGGCAAGTTGGAAAACAGCATGTCACATCGAGCTCCCGGACATGGGATGCATTGGAACGCCATCAAAGAAGTGGTGGAGGAGAAAAAAGGCTGTAGCTGACAAGTAAGGATATGAGTTTTGGGGACAATTAACCGTCAGGGCATCAGCAGGAGGTGGCAGGGTGAGATACCTGCAATTGCTTATTTAATCAAAATTGTAAAAGGACCAAAACAACTATGACTTATGTTTCCCAGTTAATGATCCATTTTAAGGAAAGTGGTGTCCAGAGGATCCTATCTTCTGGGAGTCAACAGCTGAGGTGCAGCAATGCCTAGCAGGCAGATTTTCAGCTAGTCTTTATCTATTTAGCCAATCAACTGACCGGGGAAACCTAACACAAAGATTATAAAATCGTAAAATGAATACATTTTGTTCAGCTAAAATTGAACAATAAAAAACAGCCATATATAAACAAATAAAAAATTATCTAAATACGCTTATATCCTTTAAACGACTACTACAAAGAGGGGGAAAGGAGCAAGAAATGTTGTATTTCGAAAAGTTTGCAGCACAAGATTTAGAGAAGCCTGTGAAATACTGGGAGAACATAAACGGGTCAGATGGGAACAGAATTGAACTCTTTGGATGCCAAAATACACATCATGTTTGGAGGTCAAATGGCACTGCACATCACCCCAAAAACACAATACCAACAATGAAGTTTGGAGGTGGGAACATCATGGCGTAGGGCTGTTTTTCAGCATATGGTACTGGCAAACTTCAAATAATTGAAAGGATGAATAAAAAATGAAGAGAAATTTTCTTGATAAAAATCTGCTGCCATCTAACAAAATTTTGAAGATGAAATGTGGGTGGACATTTCAGCAGGATAATGACTCCAAACACACAGCCTACGAAACTCTTAATTGGTTTCAAAAAGAGAAAACAAAACTTCTAAAATGGCAGAGCCAATCAGCTGAGTTGATATATAGTAGAAAATCTATGGAAAGAACAAAAGATCATAATTCATAGAAGAGGCCCATGAAACCTTCAAAATTTAAAGACTGTTTGTGTGGAAGAATGGGCCAAAATCATACCTGAGCAATGCATGCGACTAATTTCTACATATAGGAGCAGCCTTTAAGCTCTCTTTGCCAACAAATGCTTTTCTAAAAAGTATTTAATGAATTTCAGTAAGTGTGTCAATACTTTTTCCCAGTATCATTTCACATTATTATACATAATTTAATTTCTGGACATCTATAGTTTAATTTTTTATATGTGTGGATGCAGGGATTGTTACCGACATCTGGTGAAAATACCATGCATAGCCCCTGTAGAAATATATATACTGAGAAAAACACATATGGATACATTTATGTAATACATATCTATAATTATTAGGAAATAATCAGACACACTCTCCCTCTGTTTATCTTTAATATCATATGCCTGTATCGCTTATTTCAAACAGTTTTAACTGTTAGGACATTCCTTGATTTCTACATACAAACTCTTCCATAGTTTTACTCTGCAGATGTTAAATGGATAAATCCATAAATGTTAATGCATAAATGATTCAGGGCGACAGTGGACAAATGCGACACCCGAGGGCCGCCCATATAAATCATGCAGACACTTAAATATAAGTTGGCAAATCCACATAGAATTGCACAAATTCCCAAGGACGGGCAAATAAATATTTATGACTCCACCAATTCCCCTTTTTCTCCATGTCCTTGGTAATTGTATGTGATTCATTTTGTTTTCTCAGTGGAGGAGGGAAAAATCAATCTTAGGATATTGGCTAGGAGACATAAAGCGTGTTGCTCCCAAATACTTGTGGTTTTGCAGAATATAAAAGCTTCACAGATACTCAGTCGGCAATCCCTGGAGAGGGATTTGTTTTATTCTTTTGCACATTTCCCCATGTTTTTCCTACCATGCGAGCATAAATCACCCGCTCTACTCCGACCAACTTCTAAAAGGAGGATCTTGACATAGAGCTGTGTAAGGCATGCACCCCTAACATAAGCAATTCCTGTTGTGTAGAAAGTGATTTTTGGAAGACAAATTACTTTTGTCAAAAAACAAATTTCCCAGAGATTTTCTCCTGCTTTGTCTTGAAAGAAAGCTGGATTTTTGAAGAAGCGTTTGACTTTGATGCCAACCCCAAGGGAGCATTTTTTCACTATATATCATAAAACTACCCGTAACTACCCTGATTTGACTTTTCTTTAACTCACAACTATACATCAAAATGACTGCATGCTGAAAAATGAACAAATCCATAGTGATTTTCCTTCATCTAAGATAAACTGTTCCTACCCTCCTCTACTTTTGAAAGGCCTAGCTTAGGTTACGCCTATATTTACAGTAAGAACACAAGGTTTGGAAGCCTGACTTATTCCCCAAACAGGCTTTGCACCAAAACAACAAAAATAAAACAGATTTAGATATTTCAATTCTGTTATAAGAAAGCAGGGGCAGCTATGAGTGTTTATTCATGCCCAGATTTAAAGCTTTAATTATCCAGACATAGACAACAGGATTTTGTTGAAATTTATCTCTAAGTCGACAATAAAAGAAAGAGACTTACTGTATTTCAAGTAACCCCCAAGCACTGCGGGTTATAAGAGCCAAAGGCTTTCCAGTGTGGCATCAACAGATGTGGGGCTGTTACTGACTAAATTCAAGACTGTTTGTGAAATGGAAGTTTCAAATATAGCTCAGGGTTGAAGCGAAGGTGAGCTTCATAGTCAATCTGCTTGTGGAAAAGGCACAATGTTGGTCTGTTCAATAAAATAGTTTAGTTTTAGTGAAGTGTTTTTTTTTTATCATATTCATGTATTTAATGGTGTCTCACTGTGTAAATGTGCCCCAAACCTAAATAACTTCATAAATCATGGTGGAAAATAAGGATTTGGTCAATAACACAATTTCAGCCCAATACTGTGTAACATAATCTTTGTTGGCAAGGAAACCGGTCTCCACCAGGTTTGCTCACAATGTAGCTAGTATTTTAAACCATTTCCCCATGCATGCACTACAGAGCAGTGATGCTTTGGGACTGTCACTGCGCAACACAGACTTTTAGCTCCCTCCAAGACTTTCCTATGGAGTTGAGGTCTGGAGACTGGCTAGGCAACTCCAGGACCTTAAAATCCTTTTCAACATAGCCATTCCTTTGTTTCCCGACTTTTTTAGATTGTTTTCATGCTGGAAGACCCAGTCATGTCCCCATTTCACTGAGAGAAGGAGCTCTAGGCTTAAAATCCCATTATACATGGTCCATATTAAAGAAGTACCAAGTCATTTTCAAGTCATTAGCGCTGTTGTAAACACTGGACACCCTCAGCAAATCAGCCATCCCCCAGCTCAGTGCTGTTGCTCTTTAAGCAGCTAAAGGGCTCATATCGTGACCAAATGTCTAAAGGGGTGGGTAGGAACTACAGTATTGGACAGTATCTAATGCAAACTAGAGAACAGACCCACCAGACTGACATCACATCGGTGGCACAGATAGTTGCAAGCGTGGTTTTCTGACCAGAGCCAGTAGGGGGAGATTGCAAACTATTGAATCATTTCAAAAACAGTTGATTTACCATTGGAAGGACTTAAAAGAGGATATGTAGTCTGGGTTAAGCACCGATCAGTCATCCTGTCCACTTTGCAGGAAATCAGAACCAAAGCATAATGTTAACACCCCAATGCTTCGCAGTAGTTATGGTGTTCTTGGGCTGTACCTCAGCATTCTTCTTCCTTCAAACTCAACAAGTTGAAGTTCTATTTTGATTTCATCCAACCACCTCATATTGTCCTAATCTGCTTCTGGATTATCCTTACGCTATCAAGCAAACCTGGACCTGGAAACTGGGCCTGACTCACAGTCTTCATCAATTTTTGACCCAATGGAATGAGATCCTGCTTTGGGTCCCAGATTGAGGGAGATGATGTGTGGACTTTCATGTCTTCCAATTACTTCCACAGTTGATTTTTTTTTAACACAAACCTGCTTACCCATTGTGTACTCCTCCCAGGCTGGTGCTGGTTTACACTTTTCTTCCTAATGTCTTTCAACGGCTCTTTGGTTTTGGACTTGGTTAAAGTTAGTCTGACTGTTTGAGAATGCAAATGGGTTTCTATTACACAGATAACGAGTTCAAACGGGTTCCATTAATACAGGTAACAAGTGCAGCACAGAGGGCTTCTTAAAGTAGTTGGTGGTCTGTGAGGAACACACATATAGCTTGTTTGTTGGTGACCAAATAGTTATTTTCCACCATTATTTGGAAATAAATTCTTTTAAAATCCTACAATGTGATTTCATGGATTTGTTTTTCGCCCTTTGTCTTATAGTGGAAATAAACCTATGATGAAAATGACAGACGTCTCTCATCTTTCCAAGTAGAACAACTTGCAAAATCAGTTGATGACTGAAATTTTATTTTTTGCCACACTGTAGTCATGGCTTTTCTGTTTAAAACTAAAATCAAATTGATCAATTTTGTAATAAAACACAAAAGTAGTGTTTTTGCTTGATTGTTATGATGCAATGAGAATCTTATACCGAGGGATAAATTAAATCAAATTATAGGCAAATTATAAGTCATCATAAATCAACTTCTTATCCAAAATTCATACCTGCTGTTTTTCCTCTTCCACCTACGATGGCTCCTTGGGTAAAGGCTGGAAAGAAAAAAGCAGAGGGTCAGTATGGAAAGGACAGAGCCTTAATTTATTTAATTTGCTTTAAGATCATAGGAATTACACTCAGCATGATGATTTCATTAAAAATTACAGCTCTTTAAGCTGAATCTGAAAAAAAATGTTACTTTGTATGCTACTAGTCTAACTAAAAGCTGTTTCCGTTCTCAACCTAAATGTAATATGTTATATAGCATGTTATAACTGCCTGATCATAAAGGAGAGAAAACATTTTTGGTTAAAACAACCAATTTTTTGTTTCAGCTGAAGTAAGAAAGGATGATAATCACATTTCACTTTGTTTCTCTGTGAGCCCAACCTACCAGCTCCTACACTCAGCTACATCGAGAATACAACATGCCATTTTCTCCTGACCACGGAATGGAGAACTGCTTACATGCCTTCTTAAAACTAGCGAATGGGCCACTTTTGTGTAGATAATGACTCGGCTAATTATAATCAGAAAGGTAATGGTGTGTTTAGCCAATCAGAGGAGGCTCAGTGTGCCGGTTGTCTGAACAGAGCATTGGCATTCCCAGCAGCCGGCGGCGGCGGCTGAGTTGGCCTCTGTCTGAGTTGTTATTCTGGTGCCTGTCCCTGCCTGCCGTTCTGCGATCTGTCTCTCTGTCCGTGCTGCCTGGCGGACCAGCCCCGGCGCCTTTAAAGAAATCCAGTCCTCTGAAGAAGCGCTGATCCATCACACCTCTCCCGCAGCATGTCATCTAAATGCTAAGTACTTCCACTGCATCTTAAAATCAAAACAAGAAAAGAAATGAGCATTGGAGGTGAGTGGTTGGAAGGGATAAAAGCTTATAAGGGGACAATAGAATCAGCAGTGCAAACCCTTTGCTTTTTGATTACCTTCCTTTTTGAGGAAGGGGGGAAAAGTAGAAAAGGAGCTGAAAAACCCATGAGCCTTATTATCCCCTAAAAGGCACAAGGAGAAAAAAATAAAGCTAGCTTTTCTAAAGGTGATACAAAAGGTTGCTTCAAAAAATTATTCTGTTCGTTTTGCCTCTAAATAAATGATCAGAACTGCCCCCATGATGTCCGTCCCTTCCCTCTCCTTTGTCCTCCTGTCTCAGTCCAAGTGTTGCTTATTGATCGGAGGGATTCTCGAAGTCAGGGCAGGAGTGCTGAGGCAGCAGAGGCAACCGGGACTATTAACTGCTGCCACTAATTAAAAGGTTAACAAGGTGAGTTTGGCCCCACGGGACCAACTGGGCGAGAGATGAAGCATGCTGTGTGTGCGCCTTGCTTGCCGGTAAACAGCACTCATCGCCTATGGTGTTTACAAGTCAGGAGGATCCAAGGACATCGCAGATGCATTTATTTCCCGTTGGCAGGATGGATGAGGGAGATTCGCAGATAAGAAGTGAGAACAAGAGCTCTCCTAATTGCTAAAGTTGCAATGAAATTTAAAAACTTGGAACCCTGATTTTTCTTTGCACGAGAAAAATAAGGGCAAAGCATGAGAGGCAAAGTTCTACTGTCTGAATTAGGTGCAGAATATGGATCTTTTTCAGCAGAATTTGGTTTATCAGGGGAATTACAATTTAAGAAACAGACAGCCTTATTTTCCTCTGTTCTAAAGAGACAGAGACACATACATTTTAGTTGTTACCTCAAGCCACAAAACTGTCACTATCAGCCCACCCTGCTGCTCAAGACGCGGGCTCTGTGCCATCATTGCAGTAACTAAAACCTTCTCCCCAGGGGGCTCTACTAACAAGTGCCCCCCCACGCATAGGATGTGGCTGGTTTCATCAGCTGGAGCCTCACAGCGGTCCCAGAGATTACCAACCACTGTAGATGCCCTTGTTTTTAGGTTAACAAGCGACGCCGAAGCTTACTGAAGATCAGGCGGGGATGATTTTCACTCAGAGTTTGAGCTTGATGCTCAAAAGCATCGGAGCCGGAGCTGTCCCCAAAGGAGCAAAACAAGATTAGGTACAATGCATCCGGGTTTGTTAGTTGCTTTATTTCTAGAGGGGGAAGCTACAGAGAAAGCAAGCAGGATCAAGGGTGGCTCATTATAAGAAACACAATTTCTGTTGAAAATATATGCAGCAGCTGTTCAGAAGCAACAATTATTGACTTAGTTTTACACTTTGGGATCACAGAAGGCAATATAAAACACAACTCTGCTAAATAATTGGGCCGTTGTGTTAGACTTTTTAAACCACAGGCAGGCTACTCTTCTGGTAGAAAAGGATCAGGATTTGTTGCATTGAACGGCTAGCCCACTCCAGGAATGAAATTAGTGTAGATTTAACACAACGAGAAAATATGCAAATCAAACTTATTTTCATAACTCCTAGCAAATCAGTCGGGCCCACGGGATAATTGTATTGGGAAGTAAAACATAAAGGTTATATTTCTTTATGAAACTAAAAAGCTATAGAAAAAACAAATGCAAAACTGAAGCTGGGGGGATATTATTTGCAGTAATTATGGTTTCAGGCAGCAGTAAAGATAGTGTTCTAGTTATAAAAAAAATATTCTGTGAATACAATGTGTTATTTTGAATCAACAAAATACTGACCAGCTATTAAAGTTGCAAAGAAATAAACAATTATAAATTTAAAAATCCTTCTGAGCATTTTTTCACTTTCAGCATTACGGTAATTAAATTCAACGACTTGCCTCCACATTAAACAAATTTGCTTGCTTAGCTCTTACCTTCCAATAATGCATATATGTTTAAACTGAAATCACATTATGAAAATTGTATTTAAATCTAAATTATAATCTCCTCCACATGATATATAGACCTAAAACTCGTTTGGGTTCAATGTTTTAAATAAACTAAACTGTCTGTAAAGAATATTTGAACATTTACTCCAATAAGCCACTAAACATTTCAAAACATAATTTGTTGTAGGTTCAGATGCTATTTCAGTACCCAGAGAAATATATATATTTTTTGCTTATAGTACATGAAATAACAGTTTGGAAAGGGAGAAGAACCTGAAGCTGGGGTCTTTGTTCATTGTTCTCTGAGCCACTATGGTAAACAGCTGATAAACTGGCCAATGAGGGCTTCCTGGACGGGGTCGCCTTTTACAGTTGCCTTTTGCATCTCTGCTTGAACCCCAGTCGGAATCAGCAGATGGCCGCTCACACTGAGCCTGGTTTTGCTGGAGGTTTCTTCCTGTTAAAAGGGAGTTTTTCCTCTCCACTGTCGCTACAAGCATGCTTAGTGTGAGAGATTGCCTTTGAGTCAAGAGTCAATGCAATTAACTGGTTTTCCTTAGATAGAAAACTTTGAATCAGTTTGACTGTGTGATCTGGTTGAACTGTAAAGTGCCTTGTGTTGTGAATTAGCGCATTATAAATAAACTGAATTGAATTAATCTCTGCTACATCTACCACAGAAACAGGACATAGATTTTTAACGCCTTGCACAACTCCAACCTCACTTTGCTTTTTATTTACATACCCAAACAAAAATGTCCACTTAAACTGTTGTTGTATAGTTCATCTTATCATTACCCCTGTTAAGAATGCTTTTGACATCCTGGTCATTGTTATTACTGCTGATCATTATGTAAGCAAAGTAAAACTGAATTAAAGTCTTTGTTCACACAAACTAAGCCTTTAACATTGATTCTGCTTCTAAAAACCAATTACATTATATTCATACATAGTTCCCCATTTTCCTGTTAAAATTGACCAGAGTTTAGAAAATATCAATACACTGAAAAGTATTAACACATAAACGCTGCATATTGATAAAATAATGATGTGGCATGGTATGGATACTAAAGATAAATGTTGTTTGCATGCTCTTTGCTATTGTTAATGTTGGATTTCTGGATTATTTGCACATTAAAAAAATAAAAACACAGAGTTAATTAATTGTCAAACGGTGTTATATTCTGTACGTATCTGGACAAACTTTAAACCGTGACTCTCTTGAAAAAGCATAAGATTGAAACAGGGTGAGTTTTTCATGTTAATGAAAGTTCTTTTGCACCCCTATTTATTTATAATTTTTTATCACCATGGTATCAAAAATGGTATTGAATATCAAATATTTTTGTGGGTATCGATACCCAGTTTAAAATTTTAGTATAACAACATTTATTATGACCTTTAATACCAAATACTAGCTTAATTGATCAAAACTTTTATTTTTCTATATAGGTCAAACACAGGATTATATCTTTTAGTGTCAATCACAGCTCACACACGACCACGACCACGACCCCCCCCTTCTGGTCGCATGCGGTAGCCGTGCAGATGCTGTGAGAGGGGTGGAGTTGGGGGTGGGGCATGAGTGAAGCAGAGAGGGTGGGGGAGTGGCGTGAAACCTGTTATTCTTCAAATTTTCAGTCGAAGTCTGCTCTCTCCTCAATGTTACAGACTGCAGCTTTAAAATATCCATTAAAAACTGAGGGAGAATATTGTCTTCCAGCCTCCACAGCCGCTGCCCATCAGGCTCTTCCTCCTTAACAATCCATTTATCATAGTATTTTCTCTACGCCGACAAAGGTTATTTATATTTTTATCGAAAAACTAGAGAGATTAATAATGCATTTTTCCTGGAGCGACAGAGGCCGCTAGAGAAGAAAGCACTGCCAAACCCCGAACCATTGTTAAAAAAGCGAACGACAGAGATAAATTAGAGTTTATGAAAGGCAGGCCCTTGAGACTGTTTTAAAATGCGTACGAATGACGAATAAGTTCTCCCTCAGGTGTCAGTAAAGCTTGTTACATCAACTTTAAAGGAAGCAACTGGTATGTTTTCACATAAGATGCAACTCAAACCTATCTGCCACCTTTAGCATAACCTGGAAGTCACAGTTTCCAACAGTTTTAAGGACTTCATCCAAAAAATGAGCACTTTGAAAAGTTTCAAAACACTTCAGAAAAATTCAATCATTTTCAACAGTCTCCACCATCCCGACAAACCCTTTTGCTTTTGATTGTAGAATCACTTCAGCTGAATAGAGCAGCAGACTTTTAAAGTGGGGGGG